CTGTTGAGCAAAAGTCCCTCCTACAGAGCATATTCGCGGAATGGACCGCACAAATGCAAAAGCCAGGAATTGACGACATAGGTGATCCGTAGTCTAGCTACCCATAGCGTCATCATCAGTTCTTTGCATCGCACTGGGAAAAGAGGGTGGAAAGTTCGCACGAATGAAAGCCGTATGGGTGCAGCGTTGTGCACCGTTGGAACCTCTGAACGAAGAGTTTCCGATGGTGAGAACGGCTCAATCGGAATAAATTCAGCGCGGTCATTTCAGCCAACGCCGATGATGAACTCCAAACTTCGGCTGTGGAATGGGCCGTTGTACTGTGGATATACTCTCACGGGTTCTCTTTTGTGACAGTTTCCGTTTTCTAAAGACAATCTGTACATTCATCTCCAAAGTATATCGGTCCCGACCATGTGAGGGTGAGTTCGCAGCTGTAATAGCGTTCTACTTTCAGCGATCAAAACTGCGCAGAAATGAGGTTGTAGGCTGCTGGTACTGGTGATGTTTGAGGTTCCGCCCGCCCTGCCGCATAGCCACCCGCAGCCAAACGCGGGAGATGGCAAGAGAAACGTGAATTGTCGCTCCGTCGCGCGTGGCGACGGCGCGACGTTTCCTTAATTTGCACTACCTTTTCGAATGGAGCATCGGATTCCATGTAGACAAGACATGGTGGACACTTGTGTCTATTTTTGGTCATACATTGTCTATTCTTGACCATACCACCTAAAATCGTCGTCATTAGGGAGCATGACCTCGCACGCGACGCCCACTGGCGCGGCGAATTACGATTCTCTTGCAGTATACCCGCCAAACGCGCCATGTCTGCGACTTCTCACGCTACTCTATGTTACGGTACGAGCACGCGGCGTCGCACGCGACAATTGTAAGTACCGTAAAATTACGACTGGCGCGCGTTCGCGATGGTTTTGTCGACACTGCGACATGTTTGTTGGCATTTCGCTGCTATTTTTTCAACAGGACAGTCCATCGCACCTCAAAAAAACCTCAATAAAATCAGTCACTGAGGTATGCTATCCAGGAAGCATTGTGACATTCATTCAGATGATCATGACACCATCTGACTCACTCACTACCAGAATCTGCTCAGGTTTCTCTGCACCATAATTGCTATGTAATCACTCTATGCAGACAAAACAAATGTAACAGCCTAACAATCCAGGCCCTACCAGAGTGAAGAGCGTGGCTGAAAACTGTAGCGAACACGATCAGTTCAATAACGCAACGAGTTCGACGCAAGCGAGCGCTCCATCGCAAGCTCGCAGTGTTTGCAGATCGCCGCGCACGCGACGTCGCGTGGTCCTCAGCACCGGTTCTTCGCATTCTCTCTAGGCGAAATCTCAAACTTCTCTTGGACGTTACTACCCTACAGCCTCATTTCTGCGTACTCTCAGGCTACGAAAGAGATAGACACTCGAAGCTGGCGAGTTCTTCATACACATGACGAGGACCTTCCTGGAGGTGGGTGTTCGGCTTGTCTTCAAATCCAGCAACAATTAGTGACAAGAAGGTCGAAGACACATGTGCGCTAATCTGAAAGATAGAATGACTATCGCACTGCGTAACGTAAGGTAGCACCCAGGTTACGGTATTAGCCGATTGTCTGCAATTGCGCACCGACACTGGGATGTTTCCAGGTTGACACATCACGGGAATAGTTCGCTATCAATCAGTGTTAGGGTGATCGTGGCATCTAGATTGACCGCTTTAATGCGTATCTTTTGCTTCAGCGTTAGAAACCTCAGTAACTTTAGATTGGATCATAATTCGAGGTCAGACTCCCGAGTTTGCGTCGAAATGGGGCGTCTATGTGTTCAGGAAGGGTTTCCAGTCTAAATACTCTTCGGAAGGTTCCTTTCATGGCGTAAGAGCTCGTTCGCGCTCACCATTTGCGCTTTTGCACTCGTGCAGGGTGGGCGGTCCGCCTGCTATCGACAGAATTTCTTCGTGCGGGCCGCTCCGTTGGATTGATTTCCATCCACGGCTGCTTTTCCTCACCTTCACTTCAGTGTTCCAATGGCTTTCAAGCTTTCAGAATCCTCATAGTGTTGTCGTCTGTGACCTTTTCCTACGTTATTTCATCTCATTTCGTCATTTTAGTGGTGTTCGCTGTGTTGAAATTCTGGTTCTACGCACTTAGAAACCTGCCTAATTTATGGGAGAATCGATGGATTTCGAAAGCATGTTCGTGTTTCTGCTTAAGCGCTCACGGTTGTCGGCCTTTCGCAGATTTTCTGGCAGCCCGGCCCTAATCAATAAGATGTTTTCGTGATTGCCCTTTTGTTTCGCTTTTAACGTGCTCGTTTTCATTGTGTGAATCAGTCCAGTAGAAGTGTACGAATACTTCAAAGAAAACTTTTCAGAGATGTCATCTTCGGAGCCGGAGCCGGATCAGCCCGGTATCTACCGAAGTGAGCAGATGACACTCGCTCAACTTTTTCTCCAATCCGAAGCTGCTTACCAATGCGTGGCTGAACTTGGTGAACTCGGGCTGGTTCAGTTTCGAGATGTGAGTCAATATTAAATTGCTTATGAGTCATCAGGTTACGAGCTTTGTGCGGCTGGCTTATCACAGATGGGGGGGGGGGAAGAATGACGTGGAAGTGGATGATTAGGAGGCAATGCACCGTGTTAGGACAGCGTCCTCAACTTGTGACTTTGGAGGATAGGAGGTTAGGTAAAAGAATGGGAAGTTAATACGCCGAATAGACTGAACAAGTATCGACTCATCAAGTTCCCTCCAATAGGAGAATACGCGAAAAGAATTAGATACAAAATAAGCTGAAAAATGGGAGGTTATGGGAAAGGGTGCTCACGTTATTGGCGTTTTGTTGGAAAAATGGACCTTGGTTGTGTCTGTGAATTATTTCTGTGTCAGTGTCGAATGCACAATTTCTCTTAAATTTCTATTCACAATTTCCCTTCCCTTGCAAGTGTTCAGGCCATGCCAGTAGTATGGCGCCAAGGGGGGGGGGCATTTTCCGATTCACGCTAATTTTAGCGCAAGCTGAACTTTCAGAACGCATTACTTGGTCATTGGTGTGTTCGGTAATTTCTCGCCATTAATCACACAACGTATAATAGCTGCTGATTAACCCGGTTGACTGTCTATAGAAATAGGTCAGATCTATTTGTGAACTACTGGAACTAAGATATGTAGCTCAGCAATTTCAAGCATATTGAAAGCCTATGCTGAAAGTCTAAACTCCGAAACACTAAAGGCATACTTATGTGAGGTGGCAGAGCAAAGAAATGTAGACGGGTCCATCTGATGCAGTGGACGAGACGAGGTGGTCCTGTTGCAAGTCAAGAGAATTTGGCCGACGTTTCAAAGCTGTACTTTGTGGCAAGCCGAGTGTGTTTGCAATTCTAGGTTTTCTGTTGCAGTATAATCGGTTAGTAGCTTCTGCCTGGCCAAAGAATGTTAGTTGTTTCAAAGCCAAACTAAACTTAGAAACAGCTCCCGCGATGAAAGTGTCGATATCATGAATACCTGTTAATGAATTACAACTCACGAGGTGGTTAATAGGCTCAGATCCTACAGTATGGCATAGTGTTATACGTGCAATAACAACTAACAAATTAATAAGCACCCGGCATAGCATGGAAGACATCGATATGGATTAATACTGCATATGTATAACATCGAAGTATAGGCAGTTATCTATGTACATAAGAGCAGTGAATCCCCAGTTCTCTTACACCAGTGGATTATCTGGATTGGATAGTCTCAGGTTGACAGCCATCGGTTGAATGTAGGCCTGAAAAGCTTTGAGGGATCTCCATCTTCCCATTTTCATTACTTGCGTCGTATCAAACCCTTGCTCTAGTGCAAGCCGTCGCGGCACCCCCTCGAAAGCTGTGAGTGGTATAGTTTTTGTGGCTCACGCCCGCAATGAGAAATATTTGCTGCAACCTTTTAGAAATGGTGGATGTGCTGAGGGGTTGTTTAGTGGACTTGGATGGGAAGAGAAGCCCATTACTGCCTCTCTTGGCACTATTTATCTGTTTTTGTATGGCCTGATGTTCCTCCGACTCTGGGTCTACCGTGAAAGATGTAAGCGGCATCCCTTCTAGTCTGATCAGTTTTATCTGATAAATACCGAATAGGTACCATTATTGAGTGTGAGCTCTGCTATATTGAGGTTTCTTGCCTCGTTGATTCTGAGAAACCCTCTAAACATCAAAATGGCCAACGCCACAGTAGAGAAAACTTTCTGGTCCTTAGATAGAAAGCCTAAGTGAACTACTTTGATGTAGTCGTCCGTTGTTATCTTACTCCTATGATTTACTGGATCTCTATTTCTGCTAGCACTGTCCAACAGCGACCTTTCTATTTCTTTGTCAACCTCTCTTTGCTTCCCCAACAGGAAATTCAGAGCCGCTGCTATGCTGGGCAAGGAGCTATGTTGTTTACTGTCGATACAGTGAGCAAGAAAAAGGTTTCTTGTCACCGCGATCGGTATATCCTTGACACGTTCCGCTCCCCACCACTGCACGAATCTAGAACATGCTAGTGAGTAGGCTTTAAATGTTGCGTTCGAGCGATGACTATTAAGAGAGGCTCTGATAGACTCCGCAACTCGAGGCAGTTCGCAGCGCATCGCCATTTCGCACAGATCGCCCGCTTCCCTCCATAGCGGTCCTGAAAATAACAATGGGTAGGGCGGGTGGGTGTCAACTCGTGGGCAAGATAAGCCCTGGAATGAGAAGGACATCGTAAACATCGATGTCCTTACCGTACTTGTTATTCCCCGGGATCATGTGAGGACGTTGCGAAATACAGTCGTCCTCACAAACACTGTATTTCAACAACATCCCATGATGAAATCTTCCCCCTTCCATCGAAAAGCAGCACTAAACTTTTAAAAACTCAGCGTCCGAAGGGTTACGGTAGCGTGCATCTTTTAGTGTATTTAGTGCGTCGAGCTTTTGCACCACGAAAATTGGGTCGCTCGTGATTTTTACGCGTTTTACCTTGCGAGATGGGTTGCAGTTGACTGTATGTGCTCCTAATGAATAAAATGTAATAAAGGAAAGCAGAATTATTTATGGGCACGAGCGTGGTCAGCGAAAAGGACATGAATGCCGATTAATGCCCGCCGCCCCAACAAAGAACAACTGAGCGGCCCTCCGTCGGAGGGCATCTAGCAAGTGAGGCGGTCCAACTGAGCGGGCGTTAGAACTAGAACTTTGAGGGGCTGTAGCTTGCTCCTCGCTCGTTGTGGAGTCGCGAGAGTGGGATAGTTTCTAGCTTGGGGCTGTACTACTTGCACAAGGAAGGACGACCATGTACTACTCGAGCGCGGGGGCTGTCTTTAACTCCGTGGGTACTGAATTAACAATTGCTAGGTGAATGGGTCCGCAATGCGGCAGAATGCCATTTTCTCTACTACTCAAAACTGCACTGGAACAAGGCCGAATGGGTGGTACTCTGGTGCAGATTCCGTTCTCCGCCTTTGCTCTCGCGCAGCCGGCTGCACGCCTAACCTTAGCCAAACGCACCGCTTGCCTTCGTATCTCACCTAGTTGTTTTCATGCTGGGGTGTTTCGCTGCGATACTTTGGTAACTGCTCACATGCTGCACATTGAGGATAGTGCATGCGGAATGTGAAGCTGGCACCGAATCTCACTACCCTCCAGCCCAATTTCCGAGCATCATTAAGCGGAAACGGTTGCACGCTGTTGCAGCTGTAGACCCTTTCACCTCCCACGTGGAAACGACCGTCTTTGGAGATGAGTGCACATTTGCCTTCAAGCCCAGAAGTAGTGTCCAACATTCCGCAGGACTCTTTCTGAGAGGCCATTGGTAGCTGAAGGGTTGTTATAAAGGCGAGGGATAGTGCTGGTCATTATCCTGTTGCTGCAGCGTAGTCAATGAATTTTCAAGGTTAACAACAGATTCATTGCCATTATTTCATTTCTGGTTTTCAGCTCAACCCTGACACAAGTCCGTTTCAACGCAAGTATGTAAACGAAGTTCGCCGATGTGATGAAATGGAAAGGAAACTGCGTAGGATAATAGAATTTTTTTACAATATTGCCTATTGCCTATATGAGCTGCCTATCATCTTCTAAAATCTTCACACCTTCATCACTGTTTGGAGCCGTGATGCACCATCACAAGACCGACGGTTTTCATCCAGTTACTGCGCTTCATCTTCCTACTAAGAACCCAAAATATAAAAAAGTTTTTTGTTTCACGCAAAATAAGTCCCAGGCGATCCGTGCTTTACTCACCTGCAATAGCACTTGAATGGAACAGTATAAGTTCTTTCAGAATAACCTATGTTTTTCATCAGGCGTCTCTTCCGGAGTTGGGTGTATGGATGCGTGGTGATTTCTGTCGTGAACTGATCTATGGTTATGTGTCCGGAAGGTTTTGAGGCCAGGTCAAAAAAGCTCAAGTTTTGTTGACGGGAATTATTCAGCAAGGCCTCTCAAAGTTTGCGCCATTGACTTGTAAACATTTTTGTGGGCATTCCAGTATGAGGTAGTTTCAACGCTCATGAAACTCGTTGTCTTTAGCATTAAAGATAAAATTCAATTGCGATCGGTTAAGGTTACGGAACATCCTTTTCCAAAAGCGCAATAAAAATGGTATTTGGGGTGGAGGTGGTGTAGTTTCAAATGGCTGGCTCATCAATACCGATTCGAACCCCGGTGGGCTGGCGTGGTCCGGGGTTGAATCCTGAATCGGCTCCCGCGCAGGCCAACCAATCGTCTACCCTCCGCGGATAGTTAATTGGTATCGGATTCGTCTCAGAGGATAAGGACACTCACTTGTATTTGGCCAGCCCTCCACAAGTCGTTGTAGCGTTGCATACTTTATCTTCGGCCCGTTCTCAAAACTCCCTTACAACTTACTATATCGAAAAGACAAACTTGCCTTACACTGGGATGGGCAACTGCGTTTACGGAGCTCGTTTAGGGTATCTCGAACGAGAAATTAAGAAAGATCAGATTCCTATGTTGGACACAGGAGAGAACCCTGACGCTCCTCAGCCACGTGAAATGATTGATTTGGAGGTATTTTTCTCAAAATTTGCGTGCAATATCGTTGCTATACTCTTATTTGAAGGCGACCTTCGAAAAACTCGAGAATGAGTTGCGTGAAGTGAACAGGAATGAGGAAACACTCAAGAAGAACTTCTCTGAATTGACTGAATTGAAACATATTCTTAGAAAGACGCAAACTTTTTTCGAAGAGGTATGTTTTCCAAAGTACTTAAATATCACGTGTGAAAGCAACGTTCAAGCTGCTTCTAAGCGAAATTTCTTTGTTAGTTTCTGAGCTCATCTTATGGGAGCACTTACTAACACCTGTCCAGCACACGATTCAGCACCCTCCTTTACATGTTTGCATGTTTCTAATCAGTTTGCTTTTACTTTTAGTTGCAGGCGAGAAGCTTCACCTAACTTTGTCTTTTCTTGCAGTTTGGAAATGTTTAAATTGCTATATATGTTAACGCATAGGTTGTAGGGCACTTTCGAAAGCTTTCATTTTCCTTTTGGGACTCACTAGCAGAAATTTTTTTTACTAAAAAGTCATCTTATGAGTCACTAATAGAAAAAAGGTATTAACTGGAATTTCTGAGCAGCTCTTTCAAAGCGTTAAAAGTCATACAGAAATGCTCTCTTCATCGTATTAGATTGATTGGGAAGCGTTGTGATACTTCGAACAAAGTTTATGACAACAGATTCTTTCATTGAACGAAGTCGTCATCCGGCAAGAAAAACACGTTAGTGTCTAGGACCATTGTTCTTCTTTTCGGACAGCTATCGATTCTGCTCTTCCTGAGCTCCCTAAAAGCAGTAAGGAGAAGGCAATCCTTGTTTCCTTTTGATATCAATGGAGGAATTTCTTGTTCTTGAAATCTAGGTGATGGTGCTGCTAAAGTGCCTCGGTGGCAGTCGGAAGTTTAGACTTTGGTGAACAAGTTGGGATAGGTCACAGTTTCCGACGGTGACTCGTAATCTTATGGTGTGTTATCTATATCGCTGCGGGCGAGCGCTCTTTAGTTCAGGAAGACACTTTGCTTTTCTCAGCCGCATGTGGTCAACAACCTTCAGAAGAAGATAAGAGGTGAAATGACTATCGAAGTGGTTTTTTTTTCGGAATGGATGCAGGATTTTGGGACGTGTATTTCCTCATGCTCCACGTCTTGTGATCGCTCTTCCTCTCAACAAACTATACTGTTTTGCATCTCGTCAAGCTCTCGTATACGTATGGACGGAGAATGGAAGTACCAAAAAGATGGATGGCTCCATTAGAAGGATATAACTGAAGTTAAGAGAACCGCAGAACATGTCTTGGATGGAATCTCACGGGTCACAAGAACAGTGGGCTCGCGACGACGCGGGGCTGAACGCTTCTCTATTTGGAGTCGCTCTGTTCTAAATATTGCATCAGTTAACGGCTAGTCACTCGAAAGTTACGTAGAAGTTTTGAGTTTGCTATACGAAAAATGAAAGTGGTAGTAATTTCGTGAGTCAAGACTAAAACGTTAAACTAAATAATTGAACGTAAAGTTCTTGTTTTTTCCAGACAAAAAATTCACAGGGAACACAAGCGGAGATTCGTTTCTGCACAGTGAACATTGTTGCTGTAGTTATGCATGTCGTGTTGTGCAGCTTCTTAGTTACGCGTAGTGCAAATCATAAATTTTCAAGTAGGCTATCGTTGCATGGTCAGCTGTGATTTGTTGCGGGTAAATGAGCTTGTTGATGTTCAGTTGTTCGCTGGTGATGAGCCAAAAAAGCTTATTTCCATGGCACACATGGGCCCTCCTTGAATAAGGTACTTTATGAAGAAGTGGTGTCATCTAAAGAAATGAGTTGTTGCATACATAGTTAATCCTAAACATTCGAACAACTACCTATGTTCAACTGGTTGCGAACTATTTTTCATGGTACCTTCTTACCAGGGGAGGTCAACAGGTTACCATGGCCATTCAAGATGGGATGCATATCGACGCTAGTCTTGAGGCGCTGAACTCAAATCTGCTTTCAGAATTTGCCGAACGATTCTCTAGACGGAGGATGTGGAGAGTTCTAGCATAGCACTCGCCGATCCTCCTTTGTAGTAGCTCAAATTAAGTTCAAGTATAGTTACCGCTGAACTGCTGAAGGTGTACTGGATAGATAAGTTGATTCATAGGTGCGAGGTCAGGGGTTCGATTCCTTGACAGGCTCGCTTTTTTGATTTCTTTGGAACATCTTCTGTGAGTGCTAGAGTACTTCTACTCTACTTCAAACCAGTTGAAAATTGACGATATGTTGAACCGAAATCTTTTGATAAGAGTCTTGACAAATAAGCACAAGAGAGGGAGTGTCGAAATGACTCTTCTCCTGCTGCAAATAATGCAGACTCGAATAAAATAGGAAATAAATGTACTTTCTGGACTCGTAGAAGATGTCTCAGAGAAAGCAAAAGTGCGAACCTATCAAAGAATCGAACCCGCGACTTCGCATCTATGAAGCAATTTACTTATCCACCACACCGTTGGTCTATTAGAGGTACTTAATGTTGAACTTAAATTGAGCCTTTATCACAAAGGAGGATCGACGAAAGCTATGCTATAACCCCACTCCCTCCTGACTCCTCTTAAAGAATAGTTCGACGTATTCCGGAAGCATATTTGAGTTTGGCGTCCCGAGGCGTACACGTACTCATGCATTCCATGTTGAATGGCCATGGCGACATGTTGACCTTCTTTGGTTAGTAAGTAAATTCTTGATGTTCTGGTGATTTGCTTTCATAAACCATTTTCACTTCAAATTCACCGCTTTTCAAGCTAGAGTCACCAGTTTTCAAATCAGATGCGCCACACTTTCCAGACCGGGCAGTTATCGACCAAATCGCGCTGCACACCACCGCAAGCCCCGCCCGGACCGACACGCCTACTTTTCAGCGCGGTCACATATTCAGATTCTATTCATAATTTCTGCTTCTAAACTTTTCTAACTTTTGCTGTTCGCGTATACATTTTGTCAGGAAATGATCATACATCAGGGCATGGCCGTCTTTTAGAGAATTTGACGCGAACTACGAATTTCATAACTTTTTTCAACTTTCTTACTTTCACACCCACCTCACAAAACGGAGGTATTCATGGACGCGCATTGTAGACCGACACACTAAGCTTCGCCCAATTTTACGTTTTTTTTTTGCAAAATTTTGGTCCTTGTCCGGAATTTCGCATTCTTGGAGTGTTCGGGGTTGCCCCTCCCACCGTGGGAACCAACGCCTCCTCCATAGTAGCACCGTCCACATTCTCAAATTGGTGGAAATCGGTAAGTAGAGTCTCAACTGGCATGTCACTCGGAACGAACTTTGGCTGGATTTTTGTCTGCGTTCTAGTCTCCGATTGCATCTTTTTTAAGAAGTGGGCGGGGCTTCCGCGAGATGGGCGAAGAATCAAAAATGTGTGGCAGCGCTGGAAAGCAGGCGTGGCCATCGGAGCGGTGGTGTCCACACGATTTGGTTGATTAATTTTCCGGTCTAAAAAGTGTGGCGAATTTGTGAAAAGTGGTGAATTTAAAGCGGAAACGGTAAATCATGGCCAAGTCAAAAAGGAAAAGAGCGGCAGCGTTGATGTCATACCTTACATAGAAAGTTAATCCGACATGTTGGAGATAAATGTGACCTGTAAAGTAAGTGTTATAGCCCCGAATGTTTTTGCTTCAACAGAAATGCTAATGTTTTACGCTTTACCACCCATGTTTATAGTGTTTATTATTTGACCTTCAACACCATTAAATCCCTTTGAGTTTGTTGATGTCCAATTGGGGATAGAGTAAGGGAAGAGATTGTTTATTTTTGCATCACACGGTGTCATATTTCGCACTGGTATAGTTATGTAGTCCCAACACATTGAAGGGATTGTTATGGGAAACCAATCAGTGATTAAGACCACAACAGCTTGCCCTCAAACGCGACCCATCTAGCATTGTTGTGCTCATCACGGTTTTGTTATGATTGTCGTGATTTGTGAGGTGGAGCACGATCGACGCCATATTGGTGAAGCTTCAAGAAGGAGAACCTTGTCTGGAGAACAAGAGCCACTTATCGTAACCGCTGAAGAAGAAACACCATTGGGACTGGGTTTATCGATGACAATGCTAAGACTCGGGTAGGTGGATGTAGGCAGAATTTCATCATAAAAGTTATTGGTTCCTCTTGTAGAAGCTCAGCTAAAAATGCGCATTCACTTTTGCCGATTTCTAAGCCATTCTCGAATCCTTTTTTTTGTTTATTAGCACGCCGTTCAAGCTTTTTTTGCCAAGAAATCGGGACAAGTGAAAGATAGATAGTGATTGTGGATGTAGTTCAAGAGATCCAAAGAGTGTAGCGCGCCAAATAACTAGTATTCCGAGCTAGTTGGCGCGCTTCAGTCCTTCGGTGTCAAATCAACTGTGTCATGGCGACCTACGCTGATCGAGTTCACTGAAAAATTAACAGTAAATTTCCTTCCTTTTATTCATGTTTTGGAAATCACCTTCAAGTCACGTTTGTCATTTAACGGGTTTCAATTTGATGGCGTTCATTGACACAGTGATCCTCAAAACATGAAGGAGGCACTTGAATGATGGTCATATTTTAGAGGGAGCATGTATCTCAATCCATGTAGGTCGTATGCTGCCTTGAACTATAGTCCATACTTTGAGACTCGGCCTTCTGGGTTTTGAGCGTTCTGAGCGAATCGGCGCCCAAAACGCTAGCAGCCGGCGCCGATCGACACCTATATTATCCTTTTCGCTCGGAGTGCAGATTCTTCAGAGCACCGAGTCGTATCGTATGAACGCGGCCATATTGATTAGATACCAAAGGATATGTTAAGCCACCTGAGTAGGAATACTAGATCGTTTGTGCGCGATGCCGGATTCTCTTGGATCTCTTGAACTACCGGCGGTGACTGTGAAAAGCAACGTGAGTGATTGTGCAGCATCCAACATGCACCACAATGATGTGTTAGTTTCCATTTCTCCTTATGTTGCCTGGTATCCTGTGCTCCAACAAACTAATAAATACAAGGTGTCCAAGACGGACTCCTTCAATAGCTCTAAGAAGCAATAGATTCAAAAAGACCCTGCCCTATACGGCGCATTCCAATTATGATGTTGCGTTTTCAAATCTATACTCTTCGAACGTTCTTAATCACCAAATAATTCGATGGCTTTTGTCGAAACTTGGATTGCAAATGGAAAGCGTGTTATCCGTGATTCCTAGGTTGCTGCAAATATTTCTACCTACATACTTAAATTGCACTTTGAGGCAGCTCCGGTGAAAGGTACCCGTGCTGACAAGTCTTGCGATTTCTTGAAAATTTTACCTCTGTATTTATTTAATCACCTTTCCTTAGGCCTACTAATGTTCAATACTAACATAGGCGGGTGCTGACACAATGGTGCCGCCTGGTGACGGCACGGATACGGAAACGATGGAGCTTACATCCGCAGGCGGTGGGCCACCGCAGACAACTGGACCGCTTTTTCATAATTTTGGGTGGGTGTCTGAGGTCAGAAGCGCACGAGTAGATGTAGTGGCTTTAGGTGCATGATGCTTGCTGTGTGTACGTGATTTCACCCACTTCTCCCGGCTTATATGTGTACGTCCAATGCACTACCTCCTTCCCTTCTTGGCAGATTCTAACCACGGTGCTAAACAGCCGTTAGCCATATGGAACTTCTCTGATCGGTAATATTGTTGTGAGTAGTGTTGTCGGAAACTGGGAAAATCTCTGAATTAATCTCATTTCAATAATTTTTAACCTCTGACATCTCATCTCAGAGTTTTTCTCGTAATAATACATCCCAGCGTTTGGCAAAATCCCATCTTAGAGGCTTTATCGAATGTTTTGAAAGTAAGAAAGAAATAATGACGCACTCTACGATCACAGTAATGGGGATTTGGTGTCCAAATATGATTACCTTTATGTAGAGTGACTGATCAGTAAGGCAGCAAAACAGAAAAACGAGCGAAACGAAGGTCAGAGTTCGGTCCTACTCGAATAACCTTTGCCAGTGGCGTTCCTGCGGCGCACGAGTACCGCATCGTCCTTCTGTCGAGTCACGAGAGTGCATTGACGTCTTAGATCGTGCACCTCACGACCGGTGGTGCTCCACCGCCAAGCAGATGCGTCGCCGCAACTGCAGAATTGATATTGCGTCGCGTTCACACGTTGCCAGTTTGAATTTTGCCATTGTATGATCGTCCCCAGTCGTGGTCGCGGAATCCAATCGCGCGATGCAATTGAGCGATTGCGAACTCTGAAGTGCGGTCCAAGAGATCGCACATATTCGAGTAATCGCGGGATGTTCTTGGAGCAAGGGCGACCTGCGAAAATTCATGAAGTTTGGGAGAGATAGGACAAGATGGAGGATGGGTTGTAATGTTGAAATATTAGTGGCAGTAATGGGTGTCGGAACGCGTTCCTTCTCTTGTGACTCCCGTAGGTCGCATCGTTCTCGCATCCCCTCGTTGATAACATAGGGCTACAAATTAGCATAATGTGTTAGGGATGGACTAAGTTTCGGGGATTTTCGCCTAGCTTAATTTCATATATGTGGATGATTTTGCCGAACGTTGTGGTGTTTGGTTCGATATTAGAATGAGTAGCTTCAGTGAATGCAATTATACACTTGTGTTGTGAAAATGTTGTGATTAAACACTATATCTCATGAAAATAAGTGTGCTCTTGTGTTTCTGTAGCATGAAGAGCTACTGACAACTCCCGAAGAAGACGGCCATCAATATCCGCCGGTGCAGCACGACTACGCCCCACTCAAACTTCAATTACGGTATGCAGGCGCCATTTTTATCATTGCGGATTGGTCGCGATTTGTGGTAAAACATTTCATCTTATTCAGTACAGTTATGAATTAGCATGTGTGAGAAAGCTCGCATTCTCGACAATTTCAAGCGCTACTGCGCACATTTTTCATTTTCTTCCAAAGTGCCTGTACTTGGAATTACAAAGCGTGACGGAGCGCGTTGTGGAGAATCGCAAATTTTGTGCTTTTCATTTGTGGTGTTCGTTCAAAGAATAGTGTTGGTACTGTAGTTGTGGTAATGTTGGATAGTTGAAATTGCTTTTCGTAGCCCATTATTCTCTCCTGATAGAGCCCCTTATGTACGCTCAACTTAAGTCGGAACGTTTTATTAGGGTTGACATTATTTTAGCTTCGTCGCTGGAGTTATCCGTCGCGAGCGTCTACCTGCATTTGAGCGCCTCCTTTGGCGTGCCTGCCGTGGCAACGTTTTCTTGCGCACCTCTGAGATTGATGATGTTCTTAATGACACGTTGACGGTGAGTTATCGGCTTATAGTTAGGCTGCGTTCATACATTGCATCAGCATCCAGTAATATTCTTCCGGCAGCGTCAGCAACTGAGAAAGTATGGGTATCAGTATAGCGTTTACCGACATGCGCCTGCGTCTACCAGCGTCTCGAGGTCCTGGGAAGTGTAGGTATCGATCTAGCGTCTACTAGCGTGCACCAGCGTCTACCAGCGTTCGGAAGAGGAGAGTATGGCGCGATAGGAGGGTGGCAGCTGCCTCCTATCCTACTATCCTCTCGCGGACGCGCTGGTAGACGCTAGCAGACGCTAGATCGACATCTATACTTTATCAGTCGCTGATCGGACGCTCGAAACGATAGGTGACGCTGCCGCAAGGTATGAACGCAGCCTTATTTTGTCAAACCTTTCTACTCTTTCTGTTATTCATGAACATTTTCGAACTTTATGCGTTGTAGGGCAACCGGGTAAAAAAAAAAAAGAGAAAAAAGTTTTAAAAAAAAAGGGCTGCTTTCATCCC